TTTCAAATTCTTCAAATGCCAAATTTTTTTCTGCGTGATATTTTTCATTTTTTCGTGTGTGAAGTTTATCTTTATATCGAAACATATCTAAATTGCCTAATTGTTGATCATGAGAAAAAAAAACATAGTGTTTCTAAATTTTTTTAACTCACAAATTATTCTTCACTTCCCAAATTTTAATTTTTTCATATTTATCATACGCAAAAATGATCAATTCTTGCTTCTCAGATTTTCACACATAAATTCTAAACTCTACAAAATTCATGAAAATTCTTCGGTTTCCCAAATAGTTCGAGAAAAATCTTTGAAGATCGAGTTGTCTGGAAAACTGTGAAATTTTCCGAAGAATTCAAGAATTTTTTTCAGTTTTCTAGCAAAGTAATTCATAACCCTCCCCTCATTACTCAACAATTACGGATTTCAATCAGATTATTTTAAAAAGTAAAAAAAAAAGAAGTAATCGAAGATTAAAAATTATTCATTGATGTTTCACTCTTCATTCTCTTAATTCTCGTCAAGTCATAATCAATATTTATAAACCATCTATAAATACATGAAGTTTAATAAATAATAAAAATAAGAAGAATTTACGTGAATTGTGACACGAGAAATTGAATAAAAAAATGCAGTTGATCTCCATCCGATGTTGAACCGCATAAGGTAGAATTAAGTAATGAATCTTCGGATGAAAAGTGAATCACCAGCGGGTATGTTTGATGATGCCAAGAAGCTCCTAAAAGGCGTATGAAAGTCACGGGTATAAAAGTTATGCGACTCTTCTTGCACGAGTTGAAAATCTTTCACGCATTATCCCACCAACATCACCAATTTTGGATGCCACTGGAGCCCCGGCGATAGGGGGAGGAGGACAATGACAGAGAGGAAAGAAGAGAGGCGTGTTACGTGCGAGTATTTTGTGGGGGATGGATCTCAGATATTCCCAATTAGCTCGCTCTGACATAATAAGTAGATAAACAACTCGAGAATCCTTTGATCCTGCGGTGAGATCAAACAACTTTTTCGGCGGTTTTCTGGGCTACGCCGCAAGAACACTCCAAGTGATAGTTATTTTAGCAACGATTTTGGTCACTCATTCGTCACACCCGTTGCATATTTCTTTTTGGCATTTTTCGGGGAATTAAATGGACGTTAATTGAGAAAAAATGAGAGTTTGGGCGATTCGCCGAGTGAATAGGCGATTTTTTACGAATTTAGGGGGTGTTGGAATGATTTTCATTGGAAAGCCAGGGGAAAGTTCAGGAAAAAATAATGTGAGAATTAGTGTCTTAAAGATGTCTTAATTTAAGACATTTCTGGTGACATTCCATATTAAATATTATTCTAAGGAAATTCAAATTCTGCTTCATGACCGCTATTTTTAACGTAACCAAAATTATCAGTGAATAAATTATTGGCTCTTTTCATGCCACATTGTCGACCATTGAGAAAAAATGAATGAAGTAGTTGGAAAAACAAATGAGACATCATAAGTTTGAAACAAAAGATCCTCGAGTGAGATACCTAGAATGTCTAGAATGCATGTCTCAATGTCTCAATCTGAGACACTAAAAATGACTTAAATTTGGAATGTCTCAAAATACTACGTTTTTCCGTCTAAAAACAAGACGTTTGACGAACAATAAATTTTCACAATATCTTGAAATACAAGTCACCAAATTTAAGACATTTTTTCAGTCTCAATTCAAGACACCTGAAGACTATTCAGTCCCTAGTCATTTATGACGGCGGCACTACTTCAAGACATTAACCCCATTGAGCCATGGAATCATAAGACATTTTCGGTGACTTATCCATTTTCCTCCAATTTATTGAAGTTCTGAATTTACTGAGAGGGTCGGAAGGGTGCTGAGGGTGGGAGACGTCAAATAAATTCAAACACAGTATCACTGCAAGCTCACAAGGGCGTAAAAACCCTAAATATTATTCCAAAGAAAAATACTTTTCATCACTATTTTTCATCACAAGACAACACATTCTATTTTTTTCAAAAAATCATTTTTCCAATTTGCGCCTCAAGTCCCTCCCGCCCCCGCTGCGGTCTCTCGACAAATAGATTACGTGCCACCGAGGCTTTTTCTCCCATTCCCCCGGCATTTCTACGTATTCGCATCCCTCCCCTCTGGCCCCTTGCACATGCCACTCACGTAGTCATCCACCGTGTGAGCCCCCCCCCAGCCCCCCCCCCCCC